ATTGAAGAATCTAGTATTGTATACAGACCTGTGAATGTAATTTTCACGATTGGTAGGTAGGTCATAATTTATCACCAGGGAAACCTGCTGTAGATCTATACCACGTGCCTAGAATAGAAAGTAAATTAAGTCAATTGGACAGATGGTCAACCATTTTTACATGTTGGCTATGGCTCAAAAACCTATTAATTCACAACTAACATCTAAACTATGGCAGTCTACAGTGAATGCCTGGAATCAGATAGAACCATCTGCTCTAAACCCCCCCTCAGACTTCTCATGGGATGGTTCCTGAAAGTTCTAGTTCAATTTCTGCAGCAGTTTTACAATTTGATAATGTACAATATGTTTACACTCCACCCCAACCCCCCAAGTAGTAACAAAACAAGAGATCTATTAGAGACAGGTCCATTGTGCTTGTTCTAAATACCTGGAGGATTTCAGAGTTAGGGAAACTGCATAGTTTTGAGAATACATCCCATAGTAAAACATAAGTCTCCCAACTGTTTGGGGTGAAACCTGAAGTGTTGCTACATGGCCCCATTCAGGGACCATAACATGGCAACTAGATCAGTAACAAAGAAACTTTGTCGCCATATTATAGTGGTGAAGAACAACCGTGTAATTCACTGTGGAATATGGCTCTTAATATCCCAAAGAACTTCATTGCTAGGTACAAGGAACCGTCACAGAAAATACAAGTCTTTGGATGGAAAGGGGGAGCCCACGCAATTCAGGACACCCTTACCAGCAAGTCAGTAGTGATCAATACGCGACTGGATCCAGACCTGAACTCCCTCATAATGACATCTCGCTCCTTCTGGTCCATATCACCATGCTGCAAGTTAAGGGGATAGGTTACCAACATATCTTGCACAGCAGTGCAATAGCTGTATGAGACCAAGCGTCCCTGCCTGCCACAATTAACAGTCAGGGATAGTAGGAAACAAGTTGATGTTAGCAGGGGGAACGACAACACAGCACCACACTGCCATGTTGTAACTTATCCTGCTTTAAATGAGCTGAAAAACTTACCAGGGCAGATACAGTAAAATCTCTTGCATGCATTTTTTCTGTAAGCCAGTCAACTTTTCTTCTAGTATTAAGAAAAATGACCGCCTGTGTAATGGTCAGTGTCTCATACAGATCACAGAGCGTGTCCAATTTCCATTCCTAAGGGAGCGGGGGGGAAGCAAAATTACATTTAGTACCGAGAACATGCAATCTTCCCACATTTTTGTAAGTAGATCATAAAACATAAGGATAAGCAGACATTGTACCAAGATGGTTCTCATCTTACCTCTCTTTCAACATTAATATAGAACTGCTTAATTCCCTCCAAAGTCAGTTCCTCCTTTTTCACAAGAATACGAATTGGATCCCTCATGAACTTTTTGGTCACTTCCAACACGTCAGTGGGCATTGTAGCAGATAAGAGGACAACCTTAAATGTAAAGAATAAAAAAATGTAAATACTCATGCTTTATAAAAACCTCCACACTTGCTTCCAATATTGTAAAGTACACAGCTACCTACAGACAAGCTTTAGGCTGCCTCAAAAAATCTAAACATTTTAATAGTCAAACTGACTTCTATCAACAGATCAATTTTGGAAGCATTTCGTCCCAAGTGCCCCATATTTAAATCCCGTTAACAAGGTTTATTTACATTGAGTTTCCAATTTCGCAGCCAAATTTTATATTTGTTACATGTTCCCATTCAAATAGCACAAGCTAAAAATTAATGCTTCTTACAATTTAAATGGCCTTTACTTTGTTTAGGGTTTCTTGGCTTCTTAACAGTTAAAGATTCAACCTTTTTTTTCTTTGTTAGGATGGGTTTGCACTGCATGTTAATGAGGGAAAGGATCTTCAAAAATTTCAGTCTCAAGTATTGAACTACTTGAAGACTGGGGTGTATACACCCTTCCTGTCCAGGCCATTTCAGTATTCAGCGCTGCGCGTTGCATGACTGAATAAAATGTCACCCAGCTTTTTGGTGGTATTTAACCACTGGAGGGGATGTTTATAAGGGGAAAAAAAAAAGTTTTCCCCTTTATGTTATGAAACATGACCCAATGTTTATGGTAAAATAAAAGACAGGGTCACGTCTAGTAAATAGACACCAAGCACGTCAAGCCTTAAAATTGTGCACGTCTGCGAAATTGCAAAAAAAACTCC